GCAGACGCGACAATATGGACAAAGAGGTTTATTGCCTTACTCACTTGCAACTTCCATGATGAAAATTAAAATTTTTCCCTGCTTATTGATTTTGTTTGTTTCTTTATCTCCCCACCCTGTCTCCTAAATTTGCTTTATTTGGGGGAGGGGCACAGGGGAGGAGGGAGGATGCAAAGGAACTGGGAAATGAATGGGGCCAAGATACATGATGTGAAAAAAGGGTACATGGTGTAAAAGACACATAGAATAAAAAGAAAGTTATAAAATAAAACACCACTGGCTGATAAAAGAGGAGGGCATGAATTGCCTCCTCGTCAAAGTCTATTTTAGAGTGAGACTGTTGTGTTCGCTGCCCCTTAAGTCACAGTAAATCATTTACCTATGGGGACAGCAGGGAGAGTCACAGCACAGCTCTTTAAAGTCACTGGGAAGATCCACAGAGCTCCCTGTTCCCTTCCTGACCCAGATGGTGCTTGTATCCTTTGCTCTTCCACCAGGGGGCACCAGCAGGTACTTGGGTTGGCCACCACCTTTAATCAGATGAGCTGAGATCCAGGACCTTGAGTGCATGCCTGGTGACAGAGGAAAAATAGAAACAACAGAAGCCAAAACAATCGTGTCTGTCTGGGCTGCCAGCCACAACCATGTGTGATCCTGAGAGCTTGTCAGAGTCAGAATGGCCCAGACAATGCCTGCCAAAGGGCCCTGTCCCTCAGACCTAAGCTGTGATCTTCAAGCAGGCAGCTACTGCAGCCCTTGCAGGAGCAGCACCCTGCTGGGACTGGCTGCCCCTGTGGGAAGTGCCAGCCTCCTTGCCTTGAGTTTGTTTTCTTTCTGAAAATCGACAGCCAACACAAGCTGTGTGACCAGACACTGCGGTCCCTCTGCGTTCTGGCATCTACTGCTTCTCTCTCTTCACCACTATCGGGCAAGCCTGCTGGCCCCAGTGCTGGCCTTGCTACCAAGTGCTCACCTGGCATCTGCCTCCCCTGAGCCTGGCTGCTTAAGCTCTCTGGAAACTGACTTGCAGATCCTTCCGTGGGAGCATATGGGTCACCTGTGGGGGTCTAGTGCCTGATGCAGAGGGAGAGATGAGGGATGACAGCAAGGACTCCTGACCTTGAGGAGCTCATAGTGTTACCCCATTTGTCCTGGTAGTTCGCAGCTGGTTATAAAGCAAACTGGTCTTTGCATTGCAGAGGTCACTGAACATACATAGTTGGCACCAAGGCTCTGGGGTGCAGAGAGTTATGTTGGCATCCAGGATGGTTGTCCCTGACAGACCAGTCAGTATTTGGCTTCTGAATTTCTTGGCCACAGATTTTCCCTTGCTAAAACCAAGTTAAGGACACCTGCTTCATGGGACAACACAGTTTTATCTGTTAACTTCAGAACAAGGAACCAGTGTAAGGAACTCTCCAGGTTGACTATGAGGGATAAATGAGGTGCTGTGTTTGGCCTTAGCACAGTGAGCAGTTAGCGAGTATCCATAAACAATTGTCTTGTTCTTCTTATCACTACGTAAAACAGGCATGATCAATCCCAGAAAACCTGGGCTTCGCTTCTAGATCTGACGTGAATGACTCTTGCCGCCCTCAGTTTCCTCATTGGTAAAATGCAGACAGCACAGTCCGGCCTTTGGTCACTCTACTGAAGGACAAGAAATCAGATGTTAACCCTGTGGAAGGCACCGCTCTAAACTCTTTTTTGTGTTAACTCATTTAACCCTGATTTCGTACCAGCTTTGTGCATGGGGGAACTGAAGCACAGAGGTCAAGGGTTAAAAGGTGTCAGATAAGGGTTTTGAGAAGGTAACTGAGAAGGACTGTTGAGGAGGAAGGAGTTTATTCTAAAAGTGAACAATGAACAAATGGATAACAGCATGACAGGGACTCTGAGGAGAGCTCAGGCCTCAGCATCAGAGGAAGAGAGAAATGGAGGTCTCTCTTGACCCCGTTATGATGGTGTGACAAGTTTCCCTGCACTAGGAAGGGTGGGAAGAAGGATGTGTGGTCACCAGGACACTCTTTAATGAAAACTCCCATTAGCACTGAAATTCTGTTAGCTAGGGACCCATAGACAGTGCCTCAGTGGGAGCCTTAGTTTGTGTCTGTGACAAAGGAATGGCTGCTGCCTGTGCCGGGTCCGACCAGTAACTGCATTCTAACCTTACATCCTACCAGAAAGAGTCAAGCAGCTATTGATAGACGGAGCTGGGGTTCTGGACCAGGCAGATCCTGGTGTAGTGGCACATGCCTTTAGCCACAGGACTTGGCAGGCAGAGGCAGGCTAATCTCTGTGAAGCCAAGGTCAGCTGGGTTGTTTAGCAAATTCCTGGACAGCCTTCGCTACATATTGAAACCCTGTCTGAAAAAAAACCAAACAAATATGCAAGCACCACCACTCAAGCCCTGAAATGGACCCACGCAGTCAGGCCCAGAGCTTGCACTCTATCCTGTGTTACTCTGAAGCCTCAAATGATGCAGTGATTCTGACTGTACCCAGAGAGGGGAGCCCTGTGTCTACATGACAGATTGTGACTCTCTCCTCAGCAGCTGGAGGACTCACCTGGACCAGCAGCTCCTTCTTCAGTGATCTCGAGGTGGGGGTGCCAGGGGATAAGAAAAGTAGAGAAGACAGAGGATAGGGTCAGGAGGTCTTGCACAAACATTGTCTGATGCTAAGCAAACGTATAAAGAAGTACAGCTCTTAACACACTGTTTCCAGGGGAAATGGGGCAGTCAGCAGAATCTATCACACAATGGGACAAGTCAGCCAGTGCGAGGCTAATCAAGCAATGTTGCACCAGGGAACACAGGGCATCTCAAGAGCTGCCAGGGGACACAGCATGCTCGGGACTGATAATGCCAGTCTCTGCAGGGAAAAGCCAAGTTCCCAGGGACTGGAGCCTTAATCCCGTCAAGGCCCATGCCTCAGCCCCAGGCTGGCCTTGCCAGTTCTGTTTCTGAGCCATGGCACTGAGCTGGGCTCCTTTGTCCTTTCATCAGAGCCTCTGAGAAGCCTCGGAACCGTCTAGCTAAGTGGATTTTGTTCCTGACCCCACTTTATTTCCTTCCTCTCTTTCTGAGATCTCCGGAATCTTTCTTCCCCAGAGTTGCCTGGGATTTCAGGAGCCACGAGTCTAATTGATGGTCATCTTAAGACAAAGGACTTAAACTATTGCCTAAGCCCCAGAGAAGTTACTGGCATCAAAAACCCCCTCAGTGGGGATAGACATGGGTCTATCTGTATTTTTCTACCTGTCGACATCCAATTATGCCAGCACCATTTGTTGACGATGCTTTATTTTTTTCCATTGTACAATTTTGGCTTCTTAGTGAAAAATCAGGTGTTAAAAGGTGTAGGGAAAAAGAACAAGTCTAAGAAACACACCCTGAGCAGAGACAAAGAAACACACTTTGGCCCTGCAACCAGAACTAAAGAAATGCACCTTGGCCCTAAAATTGGAGCCAAAAGGCTAAAAAGGACCAGAGAAAGAAACACACTTTGGCCGTGAACCTAGAACCAAATCTGACCCTAATGCTGTGCAGAAAACTAACCAATCCTCGAGCAGAGTTCTAGCCAATCTGAGCTCAGCACTAAAATCTGACCAATCCCCACCCTGGAAGCCCCATATAAACCCTGTATCTGTTTAGCTTGTGGCTGTTCCCGCTACTGGGCTGTCTCCTGCCACTCTGGCAGAGGGCAGCCACTCTCCTGGGTTCTTCCTTCCAATAAACCCATTCAATGAGCTTTTGGTGAAGATCTTCTTTTGTGGCTACCGGGATGGAGCAGAGGCGACCCTGGGCAGAGCAGAGTGATCAGGGCTGTAACACTTTTGCAGGGGAAACCTTCGCTGGGCAGATGCTCTCCTCTCTCCTCTCTCAGGGAGCAGAGATGAACTGTAGCAACTTTGCTTGAGAAACCTCCTGCCGAGCAAAACTGCTACACTGGGCGAACATCCCCAGCTGGAAGACCCTGTCCTGCCAGAGCGGAGCCGATACACTGGCGAAGCCTTTCCTTGAGGCAAGGCTGTAAGCTGCTAAGCTTACTACAACCTGTGGTGGTCCTTGGCTCCAGAGCTCCAGGATACCTTTCCATCTGAGCTGTGTAACACTCAGGATTGTGACTCCGGAGTGCCAGAATACCTGACCCATCTTGATCATACCGAAATGCCTACAATAGGGGTGTGTATTAGTATAAGGGCCTTCAACTCAGTTCCATTGGTCCATGTGTCTGTTTTTATGCCAATACGGAGCTGTTGAGAAAGATTTCTTATTTGCTGATTTTATGCAGGCGAGCCTATGCACATTTCATGGAGGGAAGCACTTGAGTATGGGCACACTCCTCAGCACATGTAGGTACACACTTCTGAGCATGCCCAGTTTAGGGTCAGCGCTCAAGGAAAAATGGAGGACACAATCTCCATGTCAAGCTTACGGAGCATATGTTTACAAGACAAGTTGGCAGACAGAAATATTTGGGTGTGCTCTGCTTGCCTTGTGAAGATGACAGATAGCAACCCTGATGGGTTTGTTCTGTGGGTGAAGTAAAGTCATGTTTATACAAGAATTTTCTCCTATCTTTATAGCAGCAAGCAAATTGTGGGTAGAAGGCCAAGTAGAGGATGTATTGTGGACATTTACAGCTACAAAGGAAGGAGACTCAGAGCGTATGAAGAGAACCATTTTCTGTGGGGCTCGGGAAGGGCCTCTCACAGGGGATTTCCTACCCAGGGCTCCAGGCCTTGGCTGCCTTCCCAGGGAAAGGTGGTGTTTGCTGCGGGGACTTGCACACTGCATGGCTGCAGTTCGGAGGCAAACGGTGCCCACTCCCTGCTCTGGACTGCAGGCTGCCTGAGCCTTGCTCAGCTGGGAGCAAATGCACCCTTTCCTTGAACACATGTTGAGAGGACGTTGACAGGAAGGGATGCTGAAGGCAGGGCAGATGTAGAAGAGAAGGCAGGGAAGCTGAGCAATGCTGGAGTGAGGGAGGTGAGAGAGTGAGGGGCTGTTCAGAGGAGCGAGCCCTTAGAACTGGGTATGGCGTGTCCGTGATCGCTTTCCACAGGGACAGGGCTCCTCACAGTGCAGTGCGATCTAAAGCAAGACTGGACGAGAACAACGTCAAAGATCAAGTGTGACAAGAGGAAGACACACCGCCCTCTTCTTCTCTCAACCCAGTGTGTGTGTTTGTGTGTGTGTGTGTGTTGTATTCTTGAAAAATCTCATCTCGGGAATAGCACATATTTTCTGTCAGGATCTGCCAGGATTTCTGATGAGACTGACAGAAACCTGTTTCATTTTCATGTGAGATAATGAGTAGATGCAAGTTCTCACACATCTGTTCAGGGAAGATAAAGATGACATTACTAGAGGTATTGTGCTATAGACGCCATCTATGTCTTATCTCTCCCACCCCTCCTCTCCTCCAGACCTGCCCCCTCCCTCTCTTCTCTCTTACTTCAGCAGGCCTGTGTGTGTGTGTGTGTGTGTTTTCTTTCTTACTATCACTTTCACACAACTTTGGTTTTTTTTTTTTCCTACACCTTATGCCCTGCGTGGTTTACAGGAACTTGCTGGACAAAGTGAGGGATTGCTACAGAGTCTGGAGTAATGGGCGTTGTGAAACCATGTGACCAAGGACTGACCGCCCCAAATCATGAGAAGGAAAGATTTTATCTGTCCCCCAATCCTGAGGAATCTTGTGTAAAGACTTTTAACCTGCCTGTTGACAAGAATCCATCATAAAAGGTAATTCTGAATCCCTGATTGATTTATAAAATAATGAAATTTAATATTGTGTTGTAAGTACAAAGAATCTGAATGTGAGATTGTATTTCAAAGCTGTGTAGAGATGACCTTGGGCTCCTCAAATTCTCTCATTAAGTTTTGTCTGCTGTACTCGTTTTGCCTGTGGTGTGTGGTATGAGATAATTTAGTGGCTAAGACTCATAGGTAGAAACTCCCAGTCTCTCTTTTAAAACTCCTTTCCCTCCTACCCTGAATTTCAGCATATATCCCAGGATGATGCTGGTTTATATAATGATAATGAGCCTGTACATGCCCAGTGACATTAGATTTTTCAAAATGAGTTAGATGATTAACTACCTAGTTTTCCCTTACAAACTTTTGAGTTTTTAATTAGTTAAGGTTATTGACTTATTCTTCTACAGTTTCATAAGACATACTTTAAAAATCAAGATTCCTTTCCTTTTGGCCCCTTCTCAGTCTCATCAAATCCCTTCTCCCCAAACCTTCTGCCTCTTTTCATGTTTTATTTTGAATTGGAGGAGGCATTCTCAAACAGGCCTGATTTACTGGCTACACTAGAAATTTATCCATGTCTGGAGATGTTTGTGGTCTGGGTGAGAGGAGGTGGGAAGGACTACAGAACGAGATGTGAAGGAGCTAGGGAAACTTCTAGATGTCTCCTGCTGAGGTTCAGATTCCTGCCTTGGCCATTCTCCAGACATCCCATAGATGCTGACTCACCATGTAGCTAACTTGCTGACTACACTAAATTGGCGTCCTGTTTTCCTGACATTCAGAGTAATTCATTTCATTTCTTTTTTTTCTTTTTCTTTTTCTTTTTCTTTTTTGGTTTTACGAGACAGGGTTTCTCTGTATTGTTTTGGAGGCTGTGGGTCCAGCCTGGCCTTGAACTCACAGAGATCCACCTGCCACTGCCTCCAGAGTGCTGGGATTAAAGGTGTGCACCACCACTGCCTGGCTCAGAGTAATTCATTTCTAATATAGATTATAAATAAAATCATTTAATAAAAAGTTCTACAGGAAGCAAGTCAAATTCAAAATGCCCAGAATATATCCAAGTAATAAATCAAACAGATAGATGTGAACATACAACACTTGTGCAAAGACATTAGAGCAACTGGATTTTCTACTGGTCACTGAACTACTTGGCTTCTTGAATGGAGTTGGTTTCTGATTTTCTTTTGAGAGTTATACGGTTAACTGGGAATCTGTTAGGTTGAGATGGCACCAGCACCTTGATTTTCATGTGTGAGTAACATAGTAACTTGCACTTCAGTGGTCACACACTGCCAATGACCTTCTACCTTAACAAAGGATATATAACGTTTTTATTTGTTTTGATTCCATAAACACAACATAAAGTTTCCCCTCCATTCTCACTGCATGGATTCCACATCACTTGTGATTTGTTGATGCCATATTTATGAGTGACTGTTTGGTCAAATGAACCCATTAAATATTTTAATGGGCCTAAGTCTCCTATCTCTGTAACAAAACACCATGATCAACACAAACTTATGAAAGAAATTTGTAGGTTTTCAGAGAGTTAGCGTCCATGGCCGCCATGGTGGGAAGCAGTATGGCAGCAGGTAGACATGACACCAGGGTAGTCACCAAGAGCTTACATTTGATCCACAAGCACAAGGCAGGGGGAAGTGGGGAAAGGAACACACTAAGCGGGAAACTGGGAACGGCATGGGCTTTTGAAAGATCAAATCCCATCTCTGACGACATACCTTCCTCAACAATGACACCTCCAAGTCCTTCCAAACAAGTCCACCCACTGGGGATCAAGGATTCAAATATCTGAGCCTATGGGGGTCGCTCCCATTTGAGCATCTAATTTGTCATGGTTCAGATACAAAACGTTACCCTGGGACCCATGCGTTGAAATCTTTGTGCCCGAGTGTGCAATCCAATCCTACAATGTTGCTGAATAATGAGGTGGACACCTAATCTAAGCAATGGATTAATCCGCTGCTTGATTAAAAAACAAACTTGACTGTACTGTAGGAAGATAGTGAACCGTGGGAGGTAGGGTCTCATTGGAGGAAGTAGGGTGCCAGGGGGCCATGCCTTTGAGAGCAAAGCTTGTCCCTGGCCCCAATGTTCCTCTTCTGTGCTTCTCAGCTGCCTAGACCTGAGCAGCTGTCTCCATCACTCCCTCCCTACTTGATATTCTGTCCCATTTCTGCTCTCAAACAATGGAGCCATCTGACCCTAGAATGAAGTCCCTGAAACAGTGAACAAAACTCAGTCTTAGCTGCTGTTGGCTTGTCTCTCTGGAGTGTTTTGACAACAGCAATAAAATAACACACGGGAGGGGGGCAATATTCTTGGTATTCTGAGATAAGAGCCACGAATGACTTAAAAAAACATTTAAAAGTGTGTTTCTGTTTTTGTTTTTTCAATCTTACATTATGCTGGAAAAGTAAAACTCATATTTACTCTTCAGATTTCTATGTTCCTCAAAACCAAACCCAGACTTGTTTCTGTGGCTTCCAAGTTCACACAACAGGCTGTTGTTCCTCAAAGGGCCTCATTGTCAGTCCCTCTTGTGCTATAATTCCCACCAAAAATAGCACTTTCTGTCTTTGCAAACATGATCTCTAGCCCATCTCATGAGCTGGCTATCCTAATTTGTGCTTAGATTCTATGAGAAACCACTGTTTTTGGATGATACTTTTTAAAAGGCAGATTCAAGCGCAACACCTTTATTTTTATATTAAAACTACTCTAGAGCAGAAAAATTAAATAATGGTAAAAGTGGTGGCTTGGATGGGAAAAGTTTTTCACAGTCTTGTGTGTTTGAATACTTGGTTGCCAGTAGGTGGTGGTGTTTAGGGAGACTTAGGAGGTGTGGCCTTGTTGGAAGAAGTGTGTCACTAGAGTTGGTGTTGAGAGTTTAAAGACTAGAGACGTTTCTAGTTTGCTTTCTCAGCTTCCTGCATACATTCAAGATATGAGGGCTCAGCTTCTTTTCTTGCTGCCATGCTGGGTCTAAAAAGGCCTAGTAGAATTTCCTGAGCCTGGCTAGACTTTGGCGACCTGTCTCAGCAAAACTTCCTCAGCCCAGCTACTGCTAACGTGATGCAATGTTATTGGCCCTTACACCTCACCCTATCCTGAGGTCTCCACCCTCTTTCTCAACCCTACATAAATGCATGCTTGTTACAAAAAAGTGACTTTGCTTCCACAGGTATTCATGACTCAGTGTGGCTCTCTCAGGTGACTAGGAGGCGGGTCTGGGTCATCAGCACTTACATCCTGCTCAACCCAAGGAAGTGACCAGCTTGACCAGCCCTTCCCATAGCCCTGACTGCCAGAGGACCCAGCAGAGTGGTGCCCGAACAGGGACCTGGCACTGCCATGCCTGCAACTTCCTGATATCACAGACTCTTAAAACCTCTGGAACTGTAATCTCAAATAAAATCTTCCTTCTGTAGATTGCCTTGGTCATCATGTTTTATCACCACAATAGAAAAGTAACTAATATAATTATTATTGATTAGTCTTGATTATTAATTTGATAGGGCTAAGCAATAACTAAGCGATAAACCACTGTGTATGTGTGTGAGGATATTTCCATACAGGCTTAACAATGGAAAGACCTACCCTGAATCTGAATATAAGAGGCACCATTCCATGGGCTGTGATCTCCAGTTGAATAAAAAGGAATAATGTAAAGCCAAGTGCCAGAATCCCCCTGTCGCCCTTCCTGACTGTGGATTAAAGGTGAGAAGCTGCTTCATAACCCTGATACCACAGCTAAAGATACCCTCACCATCATGCCTTCCCTGAATAGTGGACTGTGCCCCCCAAATTTAAGTCAAAAAGTCCCTTTGTCTCATAAGTTACTTTTCTCAGGTGTTTTTGTCATGGTAGAACAAGAAATAACTATATCACTTCTCACCCAGAGTCTAGAGTCCAGCAGAGGTATATATCCAGAATTAACTGTTCCCTAGTGCGGTACTTTAGGATAAATTCTATCCTAGAGTATGTTTCAGTCTTAGCTGTAATTCCTACCAGTGCGATCTCATCTGGAAAGATGGTCTCTACCGATGTAAAACATTGATGCCATACAAGACTGGTGCTGTCCATAAGCTGATGATTGGTAAGAGGGATATCTGGGTAAGCATGCATGTGCGCACACGATGCCATGCTACCATGGAGGTAGAGATCGGGGTTCTATATCAACAAACCAAGGATATTCAGCATAGGTTTGGGACAAAAAGGTGCTAGGAAGAGGTAAGAAGAATCCATCCTCAAAGCAGAATCTGGCACACCTCACATTTAGATGTTAGACAGACATACCCCTCCCTGAGAACTGTGGGAGGGTATGTTTATATTATTTTGAGGCACAGAGTTTGTGGTGCATTGCTATACAAGTCTTAGGAATGGGCCACATGGAATGTCCAATTTTGTATTAGGAACACTTAACTTCTTATTACAATACTTTGAGCTTCTGGGGGCAGGAGGCATGATTGTATCATAATGCATGCAGCCCCGGAAGGAATGAATGCTCCATATTGAACATAAACATACTGTTTGAGTACTTGATGAGAAAAAAAAGCTTAATTCGTTGAAGGAGCCAGCTCTGCACAGTGTGAGTGTACACATGCATGTGCATATTTGGTCAGAAAGGGCACTATCCATCAGGGAAGATTAAGTTTGCATGAGCCAGAGTTTGACGTGAAGATTTCTACTTACCTCTGTTTGGCAAGGATGACAGCTATTTTATGAGAATATTTGAATAGTCCAGAGTCTAAGAAGCTTGTTCTATTTTATTGAAATTCAAGGGAACATCCTAGGAAGTGATCATGATTCCAATTTTGACTACAATAGCATCCTAGCAATTCTGCACAGGTCATGACTACTTGAATTAATGCTCAAAGCTTAGAAAACATGTTAGCCTCACAATAAGCAGGATCAACATTTAATCAAAACACTTCATTGTTGCGACGCTTAAGAAGGTTGACCTGGTGGCTGCTATCCATCTATCTGTGCCTGATTTAACTGAAAATCTTCATTACTGATTCTACACGTTTCTCGTCCTCGTAAGGTTTCCTCTGGCTGCCAGGCTGAAGAAACTTCTTCACTGTTGGGAGGTTGCTGACTCTGGTTCTCAGTGCCTGCAACAAACAAATCAGAGCCTCAGAGAACAGCTGAAGAAAAACTATTATTGCTGTGCAGCCCTGTGCCCCTGCCAATCAAAGACCAACCGATCCCCTCCATCAGCAGCAAGTGGAGGTCAGAGACAGATACTCGGGGAGAATGAGGTTGAGAGGAAAAAAATGGAGTTTTCCCCCAATACATCTTAAACACTCCTTCTGCTCCAGTGGTTCTCATCTTCTTCCATGAAGATCTGGGACAACAGAGTCAGAAATAGTGGTAGAAAATAGAACAGGGAACTGGGTCCGGTGTCAACCACTGAGAAAGAAAAGTGGGAATTCCCAGGGGCTGTCAGTGTAGCCCAGTGGTACAGCACTTTCCTGGTGTATGCAAGGCTTAATCACTAGCACCACACAAAACAAAGACAATAAAACCAGTGAGGGAGCTGAAGAATGGCTCAGTGGGCAAAGTGCCTGCTCAGCAAGCATGGGGGTGAGTTTGGATCCCAGCGCCCACGCAGAAGCAAGTATAACAGTATGTGTCTTTGCCCCAGCGCTGTGGTGCAGAGGGTGGAGATGGACAGCTCTAAAATTCATTGGTCAGACAGCCTAGCTGAATAGATGAGCTCTGGCTCAGAGACAAACTGCTTCTCAAGGATAAGATAGAGAGCAAAACAGGAAGGCATCCTATGTATACTTCTGGCTTCCATATGCATAGGCACATTTGTACACCCAGATGAACACATGTATACATCACACACACACACACACACACACACACACACACACACACACACACAGTGGAAGTTACTGGATTGGAGAAACATGCTTGTGAGGGAAGTCACTGGAGAGAGAAATGTGCAGGGTTTGTTAACATAGAAGCTTGAAAAGACATCCCCAGATAGATTCAGTGTGAAAGGCAAGGCTACAGCAGTGATAAAGAAAATCTCTCTGAAATCAGGATCAAGTCCAAGGTGGAATAGGGTATGCGGGGAGAAAGCAAGGTTCTTCCCATTACACAAGACAAAGAGTACTTCTGGAGATAGCAGGTGTCTCAGGCCTAGGGTCTAAAATCTCATTTTGTAGGTATAGCTGGGCTTGAGGGGTGGTATGAAGGTAGGAAGAAACTGGAGGGTGGGTCAAAATATTGGATCCACGAAGTAAGATATGGGCTGCCCCTCAGAGGGTTTGAAATAGAGCACCTTCAGCAGAGGGAAGTTGGCCAAAACGCTGGGATCCAGCTCTTCCACATGGTAGAGAAGTTCAACCAGGTAAACATCAGCCCTGCTCAGCCTGTTGCCAACGAGATAATCTTGTCCGTGGCTCTTCAACACCTGGAGGATTCAAAGATGTTAGTTAGATGTTGAAGACAACAGCCGTCATCTGGGCCCTCCTGACTTTTTCTGAGGTTCCCAAGTCACCTTCCCTTCTGCTTCCTTTTTAGGTGAGTATGGAGCCCCACACCTTTCCCTCGGCCCTGACTCAGATCCAGCATCAAGAAGCACATCTCTGCCCATCATTTTGTCATCTGTCCTTCACTGCTTTTCCTACAGGTGCCAAACTCCCAGCTCCAGCCGCACTATTCCCCCCCTCCCTGTAATGAGGTGAAGCTCTGACGCTTGAGGGTGTCCTGTACTCTGTAGTCTCTTAGTGGGAAGTGGCTTCTCTGGTGTGAATACACCCTTCACCCTTGAGGAGACTGCTTCAGTGACTGCATTCCCACTCATTTTCCCCCAGTGTCTTTATATCTATGACATCAAGAGTAAGCTTGATCGTCATCTCCTCTGCAACACTGACTCGGACTCTTCACACAACGTCACATCCTTTCAGTGCTGAGGCAACAAAGGGTTCACTGCATGTATGTCTCCAATGGATTTTGGAATGCTAGAAAAAAAAATACCATGATGGGAAGAAGAATGCGTGGGTGGGGGAGGGGAGGGATGGGCACACACAACAAAGCCAGTACCACAGGATATTGAATTTGGCTTTAAGTAGATGATGCCAGCATGTTCTTTAATATAAATAGCCTGTTTTCTGTCTTTCTGTCTTTCTTTCTTTCTTTCTTTCTTTCTTTCTTTTTCTCTCTCCTTCTTTCTATTTTGGTTTCATGACTGTAGCCCAGGCTGGCCTCAAACTCATTGTGTACTTAGCCTAATCTTGTTTTGATCCTTCTGCTTCTGTCTTAAGTTTGGCTTACAGGCTTGCATCATGCCTATCTCAACCTTTGTAGATGATTGAAAGTTTGTATACAAAATATTGGAGTAATATGTAATACGTGTTAAAATAATCTGTCAATGTTAGAGTCCTGAAGAATAAAGAAGAAAAATGCCGCAGCACTACCAATTAAAAGTAATGTTATCAAAGAGATATCAGATTATGCATATATACATAGAAATATGAACGACTCATTGGTATAAGAACAAAATGATAGTGAAATTTACATTTTTACTGATATTCAAGGGGTTCTTTGGTTTCACAGTATAGGCGACAAGTTTTAATGAATAGAGAGCATCTCTTCATGGGATAAATCCTAATCTGTCAGAATCCCAAGGGCCAAGAGGGAGGATCTGAGGATATGAGTATTTGTACTCTTATGTGGGCCCTGGGTCTGACATGCATCAATGAGTTAATATTTGTCGAATGAAGGAAGGAATGAAGAATAATATAACGCTAAGTAGGTTTTTACAAAACGAATGGGAACAATATGAGCTATTTGCTGAAATATCTCAGCGTTATTGCAACCTGAAGAACAAAACGCCCATGGTCAATGAAATGGGAGTGCGTGGAAGGTGGATGGTTTTCCTTCATCTGCAAGGCTCCTGCCAGTGACATGCTTACACACTTCACTTTTGTTCGGTTTGGCCTCACATAGCTGGATTCTGAAACATGGCCTCTTCATTTGTAAATGCAACTCCTACTAGTATGGCACACATACAACAAGCACACCACAAATGCATATGGAAATTAAGCTTTATCCATTGTCTCTGTGTGACTTTCTCTTAAAGTTACGTTTTTTCTTCACATCTCCTCGCTGTCTCTTCCCTTCCACGCCTCTGTCAGTACTGTGTATCCATCCTGAAGCGGTATAATACTCTCCTGATGGGGACCTTCTTCACGCCTCCCTATACTGTGGGGAAGGGTGCTTTCTGTTGTGTTATTCTCATTTTGATGTTCTTGAGTCAAAAGATTCATTACAGTGCTCTGTCCGATCAAGCCCAGCCTCCAGTGTGGCTTAGATGTTTACATACCCCAAGTTCGAGTTGAGACTGTGAAATCTGTCAGAAAAATTCTATGGTAGGTCACAGCAAAACAAAACTTGGGGGGATGGGACCTT